GACTGAATGCCATAATGTTGACTAATACAAGTAGGACTGAATGCCATAATGTTTACTAATACAAGTAGGACTGAATGCCATAATGTTGACTAATAACAAGTAGGACTGAATGCCATAATGTTGACTAATACAAGTAGGACTGAATGCCATAATGTTAATTAATACAAGTAGGACTCAATGCCATAATGTTGACTAATACAAGTAGGACTCAATGCCATAATGTTGATTAATACAAGTAGGACTGAATGCCATAATGTTTACTAATACAAGTAGGACTCAATACTATAATGTTTACTAATACAAGTAGGACTCAATGCCATAATGTTGATTAATACAAGTAGGACTCAATGCCATAATGTTGACTAATACAAGTAGGACTCAATGCCATAATGTTTACCAATACAAGTAGGACTGAATGCCATAATGTTGGAATGCCATAATGTTTACTAATACAAGTAGGACTCAATACCATAATGTTTACTAATACAAGTAGGACTCAATGCCATAATGTTGATTAATACAAGTAGGACTCAGTACCATAATGTTTACTAATACAAGTAGCACTCAATACCATAATGTTTACTAATACAAGTAGGACTCAATGCCATAATGTTGACTAATACAAGTAGGATTCAATGCCATAATGTTGACTAATGTTGAATGTTCTTACAATTATTAGAATATACGATCATTATTGTTATAAATAAAACATCTGAAAGATTGAAACTGACAAACGTGTAACTAGTGAAACAGATACAACATGAGCTAGTTAAGATCCAATTGTTTTTCTTTGTAAAGTCCATAGTGTTGATTGGATTTGATGTTTTTAACTGAATTTACATGGGCTTGGTCTGTTGGATTGATTCTGTATTGAAGAAGTAATGTTTTTTTCAATCTGAATTTATGAAATGTATCTTCAAGAAATGTGGCAAGGTTTTAGTCAACAGATGAGTGTCATACAGAAAAAAAAATGTGTTACTGAAGTTTTTCTGCTAAAGATATGTTTGTGAAATGCCGAAGTAAGTCTGTCTCAGACTCTGAGAAATTGGAGTGCAAGGTGATGCCGATGTGAGGAATAAAAATACTTCTGTCCATCATACAGTTTGCAATTTGCATAATCTCTACAAATTTTTAAATGCATATCTACAGTTTTTCCATATCAATGTATATGAACTGTTGCAAAATCAGTGATGTAATGTAACATAAAATATTGATAACTCTGACATCACATGCATAAAGCCAGGGGATGCACACTTTGATCCCTACCCACTTTTACATGTAGGGTTATTCCAATAAAATTGAAATTATAAGCATCTTTTGCGCTATTATGTAATTATTTTTTAGTACATTGCTAAGAACTTTTTCTCATTTTATCTTACACTGATATTCTTCAGTATTCATGTCTTTATTTGTATTTCATTATAAATTTATGTAAAACTTGTATAGAACATCCAAGTAGTTTTCTGTTCCTGTAATGTTCCATTTTTTTTAATTCATTGCACTTTTTGTGTGTGATTCTGTGCATTAACTCTTTTATCAGATTTAAAGAATGATAGTAGTTATTGGCTGGTGTTTTGAATGACTAGTAGTTATTGGCTGGTGTTTTGAATGATTAGTAGTTATTGGCTGATGTTTTGAATGACTAGTAGTTATTGGCTGATGTTTTGAATGACTAGTAGTTATTGGCTGATGTTTTGAATGACTAGTAGTTATTGGCTGGTGTTTTGAATGACTAGTAGTTATTGGCTGGTGTTTTGAATGAGTAGTAGTTATTGGCTGATGTTTTGAATGAGTAGTAGTTATTGGCTGGTGTTTTGAATGAGTCGTAGTTATTGCCTGGTGTTTTGAATGACTAGTAGTTATTGCCTGGTGTTTTGAATGACTAGTAGTTATTGCCTGGTGTTTTGAATGACTAGTAGTTATTGGCTGATGTTTTGAATGACTAGTAGTTATTGCCTGGTGTTTTGAATGAGTAGTAGTTATTGGCTGATGTTTTTTAGGATCTCATTACAAGATAGTTTCTTATTGTTTCCCTTAGAGTAATTGCCAAGACTTAACTGTAGGTATATAGCTAACCTACTGGTGTTTCTATACGATAGACATTAAGTAGTGCATCAGGTCCAAGCATGTCCATGTTCATACTTCTTGCTGATAGTTACACTTAACTGAACTTAATTGAACATTGTAGGTTATCTAGAAGTTATGCAATATTCTTAATTATAGTAAAGAAATCTGTACTGAAATGTAGTATAAAGACAACATAAATATTATTACTAGGCTCAATATTAATGGTGGCATACATAACCATGAATTCATGTGATCAGATAGTGATCATCAAAACACACTGCTGCTGTTTTCTTTGTTGATATTCAGGTATGAGTAAGAGTGTTCGGACCAGTTGTAAGAAATGAACAAACATTGGCCATTAGAAGACACATGACTTGGCTGGTAAGAAAGTGGGAAATATTTTGCATATACATCATCTTGGCAGCATTTTTTGATACAGTTCTTGATAAGTTATGCATTTTGCTTGCTTATTTCAATAAAGTTTCTCAGTTGTTTTACATCACTGTTCTTGAAATATATATTTCAATCATCCAGTTGAAGAGCCTTTATACATGTGTAGATTTTGGCCTTTCTTCTTCTTTCTGAAGACACGCAAACTGTCTGATAAGGAGTAAAGTTTTGTACTGTTAACTGGAAAATGTTTCACAAAAGGATCCTTTTTCAAGGCAGTTCTTCAGACGTTATACAGTCTGCCAGTGATGTTTCTCGTGTATTAAATTTGTTACATTGCTTTTAGTGAACTTTGTATGTCAAGTATCTAGCTTTCAGAGTAAACTCTCTATATATGTATGTTTTGTTTTTACACTTAATCAGAGTTCAGATAGGGAAGTGGTTGCTGTCAAGTGCGTGGAGAAGAACTCGCTCACAAAGCCAGCAGTGGAAAACCTTTTGACTGAAATAGAAATTCTTAAAAAAGTTAAACATGAATATATTGTTGAGCTCAGAGATTTCCAAGTAAGTTAATTTTGTTATACATTTCAATTTTTTTTTTATATGAGGTGTATTTTTCATTTCTTCTCTACAATGATGATTAATATACCAGAATTTCATATATAAAGGGTCATCATAGAATAAGAAATAAATAAAATGTTAGAACTTGTAGAACCATTTTGTACTTGCATGAACACAAGTTAAAATGTAATGTTAAATAAAAAGGAAGAGTAAATAATGAAGAGTTGTTGATTGGTATAAGAATAAATAAATAGTGAAAAAATTAACTAATATTCAAAAGGCTCAGAAGAACATTATGGAATTTGTTCGTAGTGAATGCTTGCTATAAAAGTAGGTAGTCTGTTTTGGGAAGACTCACAGATGTTAAGAGAGAGAGGATAACGTTTGATGAAGAAGCTACAGACTTAATTAACAAAATATCAAGCTAAGGTTGAATTTGTAAAATTAATGGAGATGAATGTGATATGAAATTATAGAAGGTTTTGAGCTAATGAAGTAAATCTTTGGCAGTCGATAAATTTGAAGTAGGTTTCAACCTCTGTCTTTTGAGATACCTGATACGGGAAAAGATTCTGATGTTTTAATAATTTAGAAATAGGTATTCTGAACATTTTAATTTCTCTCATTTTAGTGGGATAGCCACTTTATTTACCTCATCATGGAATATTGCAGTGGTGGTGATCTGTCACTTTTTATTAAACGGCGACGAAGACTTCCTGAAATCACTGTTAGAAGGTTTCTGCAACAGATAGGTATTTATAAATCTTCTTTTTTTTCTTCCTAAGTTTGAAATTAGAATAAATAATTTTCTTTTATTCACTGTAATATAAAACCTTAATGAAACAACAATAGTATAAATGAAAATGTCCAGAAAATATTCTTTCAATCTCTTGCTTTAAGATTTAAAACACTGAATTAACACTGAGGATTTTGATAAAAGTATTTGTCCCTTAAATGTTCTGTAGTGCTCTTGTTGTCGAGAAAAACCTACGACATTGAATCTGAAGGGCTAATATTATGGTATTTTAAGATGAAACTGATTTTCTCAAAGAATATTTAGGAAGATCTCCTATGTAACAGGAGAATCGGCAGGATATGTTAACAAGTGGTACTGAACTTAGCTAATATTAAATGAGTTTGAACAAAGAAGTAGTCTGCATACAATGTATAACCTACAATGAAAACAATCTTTATTGATCTTAACTTGGAGTGTGTGCTTGCTTATGGATGCTTGATGCTTGCCTTTCACTTGATTCTTTTCTTGACATGTTTTCCTGGTAACCAGTTCACTCATGATCCAGTACATAAACGTTTAAATCTAATGTTTCTCTCAATCTGGGAAACATTGGATTCAACCATAGCGTCTAGTGCTAACAATGTGACTGGTTAATGTCACAACCTTGAGATATTATCTGGTTTACCATTGGAAGACACTGCTATCAACATTCACATACAATGTGCAACAGTATGGCCATGCCACCCACCACCCCCTTCACCTGGGCAGAACAGGTGTGACCTCAGTAGAATGATAAGAAACAAAGTTAGACTATTCTCTTGATCAAGTCTTGCAAATATAGCATGGAATTAGAATAAACAAAAAAATTTGTGAAAAATTGTACATTGAAATAAGAATGTAGAAGAAAATACAGTTTGCTTGAATAGCAAAATATTATAGTAAAATAGACACAGAAAGTTTGACTAGATACTTTCTTCTTATATGTGTTAACCTATAATGTTAATATTTCAGAATATGAAATTTACTTGTTAAGAATGTTCTCTTGTCAGTTTAATGTTTCATTATATGAAGTTATGGTCACCTGTCATGTTAATGTTTTAGCATATGAGATTTCCTTGTTTTGTACATTAACCTGTTATATTAACATTTCACCATAGGAGATGTTCTTGCTAAACATGTTAATCTGTCAAGATATTAAGTTTTCATAAGAAGCACATTAGTCTATCATGGTAATGTTTTAATGTAATCTTGTGCTTTCAACAAAAAAAATTGAAAACATAATAGATAAATATTTTATGAAGAAGCTCTTAATTGTACTGATATAGAGGAATTAAATTTCACTCATAATTGTTTTCAGCAAAAGCATTACAAGTTTTACGATCTCATAACATAGCACATATGGATCTGAAACCACAGAATATCCTTGTGTCTTCTGTTTGTAATCCAAAGTTAAAACTTGCAGGTAAGCCATGTTCTCTTCTTTATGTTTCACATTATTTTTATGGAAGTTTTCAACTTGTTTCTCTGTTAGAATTCAATCTGTAAGTGTGAGACTATTACACCCTTTTAAGAGAATAAAAACTATATTGAGAAAAGAAATTTACAAAGTTTCCTCTGCTACAGTTTCACTGAACCTGAGGATGACAAAATCTTGTCAAAATGTCGTATATTTATAATAAAGTTTTTTCATTACTCAGTCAAGCCGTCTCAAAACCTTTATTTTCCAAAAAGTGGATTCCACGTTATCAAGTTTTAATAATTTCAAGACTTTATAGAGTGTTTGTACCTTGTAACAACATATTGGTGGTAGTGTTTTTTTTTAGAACAAGAAGTAAAGCAGTCTTAATTGTTTTACATTTCAATGAAATAATTATTTTCTAAAGTTTATTCAAGAGAAATTTATCTAGGTCAACTTAAACACTTGCAGATATATTCTAGATGGGTTTTATATGAGTGTTACCTCAGGAATGAAATTAAGAGATTAGTTTAGTAATTTGGTGGCTTGTCATTAAGTTTGATTTTTAATGGTAAAAATTCAACATTGGATACAGGTGGAACTCAAAGTACACACAACACATCAGAGTTACGTTAACAGTTTAATCAAGCTATTTTATTAGCAGCTTATGTTCATGGCAGAATTAAAAAAATATAAGTATTATATATATATAACTTTCCTTTTTGCCAATTGTCAAATAGAAAGGCTTTTAGTTATATTTTGGTATAGAAATCCTGGTCCTCTATTCTTTAAGTACTTTTCCCCTTTGTTTAGTGTTCGACTTTCTTTTGAGCATTATCTCAATGTTTCTGCAGTGAAGGGTCTTTCTTCTGTGCTTCCTTCAGTTCCTGCAAACCTAAATTTGGGATATCGCCTTTTGATACTTGCAGTGGCTTGATGTCTTGTTTGCTCTTCTTTTCTTTAGTTCTGGTAGTGACTGCAAATGCTTTATCAATCTTTTTTCTTTCTAGTTCCTCAAAGTTTCTACTACCTGGTATGTTTCTTATCACCAAGTCATGTGTTGGTTCCTTGATACACATGGCCTCAAGGTCTTTATTTTTGCTATGGGAAATTTTCTCACTGTCCCATCAGTTAGCACACACAGGCGTATCTTGCCTGACATCTGATCATTGGATACTAAACTGGTTCTCACTGCTGCACTACTGCATCCAATGGCTCGTAGAACCTTCACTTTCTTGTCCCTAACATAGCCTTCATATATTGGCATATTATAATTTGTTGGTATCTCTTGATATTTGTCACAAGCTCCCATCACTATTGACACTGTTGATCCATTTGATAATTTGAGCCGACCATTAGTCGTGCACTGATCAACCACGTTTTATTTTATTCAACTTGACAATTAGTCTTGATTCTATTTCTTCTGGCAGCAGCATCCATAATACCAGTCACTCTTTTCTTGTTTCTTACCAGCACTGTCTTTGTAAATGGCTCCAGCTGCTTTATGTTGAGGTTTGTGCTATTGTTTGTTGGTAATGGACTTGCACTCCTTTGCAACGTGCCCCATTTTATAACAAACATAACATCTCTTCTGTCTATTAACGTCCTGTCACCTTTGGTAAACTCCTGCTTCTGGTCAGCCATTACTGGTTTTAAATGTAACTGGACATTCTTGGACTTGCCAGTTATAGTACCTCGATTGGCTTTTATATACTATTCTGCCAGCTTGATCATCTTGTCTACATCTTTTGGTGCTCTCTCCTTTAGGAACAGTGACATGTCAGTTTCTCCAGTGTCTGGTTTAACTCGTCAGAACTTCCAACAAAAACCTTCTTCAGTAAGTTCATATTGTCATTCTTGGGTCCTTCTTCCTTCAGTTGAATGAGTTTTGCTATCTCAATTTGTGCTCTTATTCTCCTTATTTCTAGTCTCTCCTCTCTTTTTCCTCAATTTGTATTCTCATTCTTTCTGTTTCTAGTCTCTCCTTTCTCTCATTTTCTTTTTTCAGTCTTTCTCTTTCTTTTTTCTCAATTTGTCTCTTTTGTTACCATTCTTCTCTTTCCAATTCTTGTTGTTGTTTAACAAACTCTCATAGTTCACTGTCTTTTAAACCAAATTGAGATCTTCTTTCTTCCCAATTATCAAAATCTGTTGACATGGTTATTTTGCGTAATTTTAATCTCTATACTATTTTCATTACTATGACAGTAGGTCTACTTATTTCTGCTGTCGTTCACGTTTTCTTCCATCACCGTTTGCCACTGTGTAATCCTGGCTGGTTTCTCAATTGTCAGGATTTAAAACTATAAGTATTATATATATATAACTTTCCTTTTTGCCAATTGTCAAATAGAAAGGCTTTGTTATATTTCTTAATAGTATAAATATATACTATGTTGTTGTTGGGCTTAGGATTCTTCTACAGTAGGTGTCTGTGACTTGTTAACGATAAATTCAATGATGATTAAAAAGCACGTACTTCACTTGTTTTCAAAATAATATATATATTCAGAATAAGTTAACGTACGTACAATAAATTCTTCAACACTATAGATATTACGAACATATCACAAGTGATATATATGCAGTACTCTCCTTCTTGTCAAATATCCACTAGGCCTATTCAATTACTTTAGAATTTCAGTTGACATGCTGAACTACCTTCTCTATTTCTCTCACACTAGTATTCTCTGTGATTCACTTACAATTGTGGCTTGAGTTACCATAATTATTTGGTCTTCTTTTTTCTAAAGATCCTCCATTCCGTTTGTCAAGGCCTGGCATGGCCAGGTGGTTAGGGTGCTCGACTTGCAACCTGCGGGTCGCGGGTTCGATTCCCCATCCCACCAAACATGCTCACCTATCAGCTGTGGGGGCATTATAATGTGATGGTCAATCCCACTATTCGTTGGTAAAAGAGTAGCCCAAAAGCTGGCGGTGGGTGGTGATGACTAACTGCCTTCTCTCTAGTCTTACACTGTTGAATTAGGGACAGCTACCTCAGATAGCTCTCGTGTAGCTTTGGGCAAAATTCATAACAAACCAAACAAACCAATCCTTTTGTCAAAGTACACTCAGGTTGATTCAATTACTTTAGAACCATGCTTTGATGGAAATAAAATTATTATTCTTATCTTCTTTTAGTTTCACTCTAAACGTCAGGCCTATGTCAGTTGTTAGGCCTATCACTTCTACGGTATTTAACTTCACGCCAACTTTATTCTCTTTCGCTATTATCTGTTTGCTGCTTCTCGCTCGACTCACACCATCTTATATCGTTATCACATACTTGTCTATCCGCCTGCCATCTTGTCGATGTCAATGAATTATTAACAAAATTTCTTACAATCGTCTGCCTTTAACTCTTATTATAAC